ATTATTATTATTGTCATCATCTTAATTATTATCGTGATTATTATTATTTTTTCTTAATTGTTAATATTATTATTATTATTATTATTATTGTCATCATCTTAATTATTATCGTGATTATTATTATTTTTTCTTAATTGTTAATATTATTATTTATATCTTAATTATTGTTATTATTATTATTTAAAAATCCTAATAGAACCGTTAAAGCTTAACTAACATCCATTAAAGCCTCATACGATACATTAAAGTCCAATATAACCGTTAAAGCCCAACTAATATCCACTAAAGCCCAATACGATTCACTAAAGTCCAATATAATTCTTTAAAGCCCAATACGAATCATTAAAGCCCAACACAGTCCATTAATGCCTTATACAAATCTTTAAAGCCCAATACGATTCTTTAAAGCCCAATACATTCTATTAAAGCTCAATACAATCCATTAAAGTTTAATACGGTCCATTAAAGCTAGTAATCGGCTATATTTAAAAAAACGGTCATTTTTTTAAATATTTCAAGCCCGGTCGGGCCAGTCCATAACCGTTCCTGTGGGTCCCGGCCCCACAAATCTGACAAAAACCATAACCGGATGTAACCGATCGCCCCATAACCGGTGTCCCAGGCGGACTTGGCCGGTTTAGCCATCACTAGACTTGATGCCTTGATGGGGCCTTAAAAAGATGGGCTTAACCTTCATGGTCAACCTATAAAACAGGTAATACGTCCTAAAGCCTAATACGATATTCAATTATAATACTTTTAGATTAGCTAATAAACAGAAAAAGACCTTGTTCTTTTTTTATAAAAGAGGTGATACGTCAAAGGGTGTTCATGTGTTGACTACTAAAGAAACCTAAAGGTATTAATTCCAAACACCCTTATGTTTTGTAATATCAAGTCTTAATTAGGGGTGAGCAGCGGAACCGGGTATCTGATTACGGAACAGGAACCGCCTTGGAACCGCTGGTTCCGGAACCGAAACCGACATGAGTGGTTCCGGTTCCGGTTCCAGTTCCTAAAATACGGAACCGATTGATAATGGTTCCGGTTCCGGTTCTCAATTTCTCGGAACCGTTACCCGCCGGGTGGCCGGTATTTTTCAATAAAAAATTATTATTATTTTTTAATACCAAATTTATATTAGATTTACATCTTGAAAGCACGGCGTCGTCTCCATTCTTCATCTATATTCTTCATATAAAATGATTCGTATTTTTTCAAATTGTGTATTCACCTGGATTCATAGTATGTAATCGTTAAACTTTGAACATTTACCATTATAGTATGTAATCGTTAAAATTTGAACATTTTCTATTAGTCTATTATGGTTTGTAATCGTTAAATAATATTTGTAACCATTATTCTATATAATTTATATTATTGCTTATTTATTTAGTGTTTTGACAATGTTTTATTTTTTATTTATAAATAACAAAATTTTAATATTTAAGAAAGCGGGTACCCGGAACCGGAATCGTTTCCCGGTGGTTCCGGTTCCGGTTCCAAAAATTTAAGAGCCGCTCTAACCGGTTCCGGTTCCAATATCTCAAGAACCGCCGATTCCAGTTCCGATTCCTGTCAAAAAGGGTGGGTACCCGCCTATGCTCACCCCTAGTCTCAATTGTGTCATTGGAATTGTTAAGTGTTCTTTTTAATGAAATTTTTCCTAACAAAAGTAACCTAATTTAAATCAAATTTTAATTTCCACTATGTTTTTGATAATGTTACTTTTAAGCGAAGCCTTACAGATATGTTACTTGTATGTTATATATTTATACTATATTATAAAACATTTGACAAAAACTCTTAGAAACCATTTTTTATGCATGAAGTACTGTGTATTAATGCATATTACTTACAATTTAAGATTACAAGTAAGTTATGCGTAAGTACAACTTATTAAAGCTTCATTTTTGAATTCGTATGACTAACTATCAAACATTATAACTTCAATTTTAGTAAACGTTGACTTGTCGAGTGAGGATACTTGACCAATATCGACATACACCAACTCTTGGTTCAAAGTAAGGTCAGTTAATATACGATATATAGTAATTTTCTATATCAAATTACAGTTAATTAATATACGGTATAAAAAACCCTACCTAATAATAACAATAATAAAATTGACAATACATATATATATATATATATATATATATATATATATAGACTTGGGATCATGTGAGACCAATGGTTTTTCGTGAGACCCGTAAGACCAATTCTCAACCATTGGATTAGATCTACAATCGTTAGATTTGAACATTCATAAACGCCACGAGACTTCTCAATAATTACAAAATTG